AGAGTACAAGAAGTCGACACCGACAGCTAGGGTAAGATGAGCACAAAGAAGAATGCATGATGTAAAGTTTCACAGAATACAATACAGAATGACGCACAAAGATGCACAACGCAAGACCCCTGGGTCTCTGCAATGTCCTAGATATCACAGCTGTTCAGTTTGTCACAGATATAGATGAAACATAACAACACATATCAAGTCATGAGAGTACACACATATATCAGACATCAACACAGCATCCAATCTGATGAAACTTAATGACATCACACAGGCAAGACAAGGAGAATACTTTACCTCGCAACTGAGGAGAACAACATACCGATAAGTACCACGAAGATCTAGCCAAGTGTCTAGAGCATACAGTACTGTATCCAAAAATACATGTTCAAATTGCATCACCTTTATGGCCCGAGAGAAAACTCTTATTCTACGAAAAAACATCAGAATCTAGAACATTCTAAACATCCAGGATTTCCTGGACGACAAAAATGTCTGAAAAATCTTCGCCCCCAAGTCATAGCGATCACCCCATCAGCAATACAGACTGTCCTCAAAAGATCATCCATGTTCATACACAAAACTAAAAAGTTTGCAGCAGAAAATTGTACTACCGATAATCAATAAACTAACAGTGTACTGTACCTCTTACTAAATAGAAAATATTTTTAACCACCTCTGGCACAAGTCAAAACTTCTCATACAATAATCTGTTTAAATATATTCAATATTTTTGCAATAGAAACAAACTTTTGATTTTTGGCGCACAATGAGCAGTAATCAAAGTCAAAATAACAAAACACCCATATTCTATATCAAAAGTAATTCCTGATATTAAATTTACAACAAAGTAGAAATACTTTAAGCATCTAAACCACATCACATTTGTCTTTGGATAAATTAATCAAATATTCATTCAACAGGTTCAACATTAAAACAATACATTTTTTAATCTGAATGCTACTTCGGTTTGGACACGGATTTTTTCGCCCCCACCTGCCCACCCAACAGTAATAGGTAGCCTACCTGACTTTGAGTTGGGGAAGTAAAGGCGGCGTGGAAAGGAACTGGCCACCCTACCACAATATGTTGTCTCACAAACAAGGCAATCCCCAATGTCCGAAATGGATGCGGGAACAACTTTACTTTTTTTTTTACTCAGGTGCAAACTTTAAACAATGGTTTTAAAAAATGCGGAAATCCAACTCGAGATTTCTTACTTCACACTTTGGCAAAACAGCATTATTTATGCTTACTTTTTTTCAAAAGTGCAAAACAGATCATATCAGAGTCCTTGCGTACCCAAAACGACACTGGAATGAGAAGAAACATTTCACCCACAGACACTTTTTGGATTTTTAGAATACTTTGGATTTCAGAAAGTAGAAAACACCTTTGGACTTAGAGAAGACAAAGTTGTCAACTATTTAGATCAGAAAGGAAACATCCAAGCTCCATGTTGATGACTCAGCAGATGGGACATTCAGGCTTTATATAACACAGTTAAAAAATTAAACACAATGGTAAGTGAAACAGGACATAGATACATTATGAATCTGTCTATATAAGAGTAATGCCAGACTAGATACACAGTTACGCTATTTTGAATACAGACAAACAATAATTTTGAATACAAACAAACGAAAGAAATTTCCATAAATTTCTAGACAACGCCTCAATTATTGTAATGACTAAATATTTACGACCCCATCAAAACGGCTTAGATAATTTCAGAGGCAGTCTGCTTTCACCCTATCAGTCAGGACCAACCCAGGCTGAGTGGGATACATCAACCCAGCACAAAACAGAGATACAAGATAAAATATCTTCCCAACACTGGAAACGATCTCATCTAAAAATTACAACACATGCAACAGCAAAGTGCCAAGCTTTTACACTATAAAGTCCTTGACAAGGAAAAAAACTGTACCACCAGTAACTTTCTTAATAATTTTGGCAGAATGCAGGCTAACAGATTATGTTCCATGCTGCTGTGTGAGATGACATGTTGTTGACATCTTGAAGAAAAAAATAAAACATTTTCAGGATTTAAATTTTACGACAATGCTTTGAAGTACAAACTGAGCATCTGCCCAAAGAACAAATAGGCTGTTTAGAGAGTTTAACTAATTTAAAGTCAAAGAAAGGACAAAATGAAAGAGGACCAGATTTAAAACACAGGCTACCGGTATTTAACTTCATCCAAACTTGAGCAGGAAATATATGACAATCAAAATTCTATGGCAGAATAAAACCTTGTTCAGGAAGAATTACTACATAACGCATTGACGTCGAGTTTTGACATTTTCAAGAAAATAGACTTCTTACTTTAAAGTGAACCAGCTCAGATAATGGACAACAGACTTAATGTTACTTTACAGAAAAACAACAGCTCATTAAACAGACACCAGACTTTCTACTTTAGAGAATAACTTTTCCCTTATATCATTGACCACTATAGGCCTACCATCATCACCCCAAAGCACTCCTATTATGCATTAAAATAAGACTCCAGAGACAAAAAAAAAGAATCTCTAATGAGTAAAAAGACTATGGTTGGTCCAAAATGACTTTCTTCAGATCTCTCCTAACATCAGTCAAATTTAAAACACTAAAACTGGAATGCTAAAAGCTGTACAGTTTTTGTTTACTGTGAATTAGTGGGTGTGACATTTGCAACATTTTGCTAACTCATAAAAAACCTCGCTAATCATCCACTACAATTTCTGCTTATTATACCAAGAGCCTACATATTAAACAAGACTAGAATGCACGTTGCGGTTTTTTTTTCATTGTTAATAATTTTACACCCCCCTCGACACAATTTAGATTATCTAAAACAAAGACTGCTTCAACCAGCATTTCAGGCCTAACACAGGCTGAGAGGAATACAACATCCTAAGCGAACAGATAGAGATACTCAATAAATGGCCTCCAAACACAAAAATCAAACTTACATCCTCTGCTTGCAGCAGCGATGTGCCTATTAAGAACAACACAGACGTCAAGGGCTTGTGTCTAGTAAATGATCATTTATGTAAGACGAAAAGATCTTCATGGCTAAGGCACCACAGAGCACACAACTTTGGCAGTACAAATTCCTCACTACAAATAGATTCAAGTTCTTTCCAACTAGAACAATACAACAATATTTTATTAAACACAACAAAGAATTCTCAGTCGACATTGAGCTAGCCCCCTGAAGTAAATGTGAGGCATCGTGGTGGAATCAGGCTCTCGTCAATTTTTTGGCATTTAGAATTATTGGTACCATCTTAAAGCTTGTTCTCTTGTTTTTATTTGGATGAAAAAAATATCCATTTATCTTTAATACAAGTCGAGACATTTGCGAATGAAGGAGGTTGGGGTCACTTGTTTTCAGGGAAAATTAGTGAGAAAATGGCCGCCAAAGATTAGTTATTTCCTTATCTTAAGAGTCCGTGGTAACTGAAAATTTACATCTTTTGCGCCTTTAATCAACGTTTTTCAGAAAAATCCACACAGAAATGAGTTCTTTAATGGGCATGAAAGGTGTTGAGCCGAAAAACAAAAATTTGATAAAAATTTACAAACCTGGGGAAAAATGAAAGTTTCTTCCCTTTAATTATTTTGATGAGAGCCTGATTCCACCACGCTGCCTCCCAAATTACCTCAGATGTGGTTTGTCTCTCTCACTACTGTTTAACATTGAAGCTAATGAAATTCAGTCCAGGAAATAAACACACTCTTCAGAAAAAGAAAAAATATACCCTGACAATCTGCTTGACCCAAAAACCTTTGACAAATACATGAACAAAAAGATAAAATTTGCTTCTATTTATGTCCTGCTGACAGATTTTTGGCAAACAAATTTTCACATCTTAGAACAAACAACAGTAGAAATATAATATATAAATATATATATATATATACCATTCAAGCATACTATGCCTAAACTAGTACAATAAATTACTTGAACATCTTAACATAAACTGATCTTACATCTATAGAATATATACCATGAGGCATGCATATTTGTTTACTTGACTTGCCATGAAAACAAAAGATATAGATATAAATATAGATATCTCATCACCACCGTGTGTCTATACAAAACAGCAATAGTTCAAAGTCAGTTCATATGTAAATAGATTATAAAAATTATTTTGAAGCCACTTTTTAAAGGATATAATAATGTAAGCAGATAAAAGAAAAGGAAACACATCAAATCAAATTTACTCACATAGTTAATGGTGAGTCATACTCAACATATGGTCGAGAAAAACAAATAAGATTCAGTAGTGTGTGTGTGTGTGTGAGAGAGTGTGTGTGTTAGTGTGTGTGAGTGTGTGTGTGTGTGTGTGGGTGTGCCTGCGCGCTTGCATGCATGTGTATCTGTATGTGTATGCAAGCTAGTATGCTCACATGCATGAGTCTTTAAGAGTATTTTTGTGTGTGTCTGAGTGTGCATAACACTTAACTTATTTTACTCAGTTTATCATAAACCTCACATTTGCGTGTGTAAGAGTGTATACGCCTGAACATAAGTATTTTTAATGATAGATCCACCCCCCCCCCCTACCTCTTCCAACTACATCATAGAGCTTTCAGAACAAAAAGGGCATTGGAGATTTATCAGCTGACAAGATCATTTGAAACTAGGTACATGACAAACTGTCAGTTTCTTTTTTATATATACAGTAACAATTAACATAACAGAATATTTCTGCTTTTTGTCACTTTTCATAGAGAGGTATAACATTATTGATATAACTTTTAGAGGCAGGGGTGCACACTGTTGATACACATTTTAAATCTGTGTGTGTGTGTGTGTGTGTGTGTTTGTGTGTGTGTGTGTGTGAGTGTGAGTGTGTGTGTGTGTGTGTGTGTGTGTGTGTGTGTGTGTGTGTGTGTGTGTGCATGGGTGGGTGTTTGGGGTGTGGCATCATTGTGAAATTCTTTAGCCTAACGTACAAATATTCTGTGTGATATTGAGGTATTGAGGCTTTCGACAAGCCTAGGCCTTTTTTTTTTCTTTCGCTCTATTTAAAATCAAAATGAAGACCAACAATGGAAAAATAATCAAAGTCAAACTGTCAGGTTCGGAGATGGAATCCCAATCTGAAAGTGAAAAAAACACTGCGTTTTGAAAGGGTTATTTTGTTTCCCACGCTTTTAAAACAGGTAGCCTAATTGACTCCAGACTATGCCCATTGTTCAGTTTGATTGTTTCTTAGAGGAGACTATGAAACTCTTCTTGCACAAGCTAATAGCAATAATTGAATAATTTCGAGTCTGTAACTTTGATCCTTTTTCCATTTCAGTCTTCAAATGATTCAGTTTGTCTATGCCTCATACATGATATGGATATAGTTGGAAACCCAGCCACCAATAAAAGGAAGAAAATTAAAGGAAAAAAATAGTATATGTACATTTTGTTTTTAAAAAATTTTTAAAGAAAAACCAAACAGCAAGAAACAACTTTGCTTAGATAGTTCCATTGAAAGTGCAGGATCTGAAACAAGATTTGACATTGCACTTCAGGCAAACCCTGAGACGGCGAAATTTACAAGTTTAGAGGGGGGGGGGAGAGCTGGAAGGAGGGGGAGGGTGAAGGAGTGAGGATGGGATGGAAGGAGAGAGTGAAGGAGTAAAAAAGGGAAGGAGAAGAGGGGGCATTCGAGGAATACGGAGGGGTGGAGGGACGGAGCGGGGACAGTGAAAGGAGGATGGAGGAGGCACCTGTATCTCACATAATTTTTTAAGTGACTGATTTTTGTATGATCACATCAAAGATATTGAGAGTGATGAGAAACATTAAGGAAATACCACTAAGATAGGATTTCCAGTCCACAGTAAGTTGCCAATGTGCATCTTACACTTCTTTCTTGATTGTCTTAAATAGAAAATAACATGCTTCTGTAATTGTCAAAAACAAAAACAAAATTCTCTGCTAATTGAAAGGTATTCAAAAACTTTCCGAAATTTTGTTCAACCTGTCACTAGATAAATGGCAAAGCGCCAAGTGCAAATGTCCACAAGAAAAAAACCCTGTAAATACGTTAAAAGGATAAGCACGTAGTGGAAACAAGTGTTTACGAAAAAAAAGTCAGACAAGTCAGACAAAGAAATAGCAATTCCAGAATTTTAACAGGCTGGATAAAGTGGCAACAGGCAATACCCAATGTGACCCCTGATCAAAATCAGCTAAACATTCTCCACAAAAAAAAGGATTATTTTAGAAAAATGATATGCTTACCACAGTTAAAAACAATTCTCTTTAGCCTCATTCCTCCCCTCTCCTTTACCCTCCGACCCTCCACAGAATTAAAAGGCAACCTCTTGCGTAGTACTATGGTCCTCCTCACCTCCCTCTCCTCTCGCCACCCTCCTCTCCTCCACTCTCTCTGCACTCTCTCCATCTTTTCTGCTCTCCCCCACATCCTCCCTATTATTGCCCCCCTCCTCTGCCGTTCTCCCCGCAGCCCTCTCCTCTCTCCGACTCCTAAACCTGGTCAGCACAGGCGCCGCTCCCCGGAACCACATCCTGATGCTATTCCACTTCTTCCTCGCGCTAAACCTCCTCCTCCTCCTCTTGCGTAGCCGGCCTCCGTACGGATTCTCCTGTGTGGGCTTCGGCCTCCTCCCGTAGATCCACACGAATATTCCAAACAGCAGGAACACGGCGATGCTGGGAACGAAGGCCATCCCCTTGAGGCCCATTGAGTAGCCGTTGTAGCGGGCATTCATCATGGTGTCCCCAAGGATGTACCTCTGACCCGTGTCTGGGTTGATGGTCACGTTGCGGTAGTCAAAGGTCAAGATGGACTCATTGGCGTTGTCCAGGCTGAAGCGGTCCGTCACCGTGTGGATGCGGCCCTCCGAGTCCACGTACTGGCCATAGTCAAAGGGGGAGTAGAAGATCTGGTTCTTCCACATGTTCAAGTCCAGGATGATCACGATGAACAGAATGCCGTAGTTGAACCACTTGCCTGAGAGAGACAGAGGAAGAAAAATGTGTTTTATGTTTGTTTTGTTTTAGTAAGAGTTTAGTTAGTTTTAGTAAGGTTTTACGGCGCTCGCAACTGCATAAGGTCACATGAGCGCCAATGGGTGGATGTCTACAGAGAAGTCCAAAGGGAAATCATGCTTAATATCC